AACAAAAAAGCTTTCCAAACGAGCAAACCAGAGTTCAGCCTTTCGTGGATTAAAAATGGGTAAAGGTACAGAGATGGCACCCACGGAAATAGATTTAGATGAAAGACTTAACGAATTATCAAGTACCATGATACGAAAAAGCAATAGTAATAATAAGCTGAGGATTGTAATATACAATATGAATAGAAATCAAAAATAACAACAAAAAATATATATATAAGACTCACCGAAAAGAAAAATTGTCACTTTGGGTATATGTATGAGAATATACAGTAATAATTCCAAAGGGAAAATATTATGAGTGAATTTATTATGACTGTCAATGGATTGTTATTATGTATAATAATAATTCCAATATGAAGTTTTTTATGATACTCTTGAGGAGAATGCAGCAGACTTTGGAGGAAAATGATGCGCGTTCTAAAGGCGGGTCACCAATATATTATGGATAATGTCCTTAATATCTGACTCCAAATAATAATATTCCGTAACTGAGTATTTAAGGTAGGCTTAATCTCCTAGTAGAATTACGGATTTACTCGAGATTATTGAGAAGCCTGAACACCAGTTATGGAGATAGTTTATTATTAATGAATAATGATAATCCACAAGCGTATTGTGAGCAAGCACACGATGGGAACAGAGAGAGTGTGAGTTTGTTAAAAATCCATATATATTTGAGGGTTAATCGGGTGTGTATAAATTATCGATTATCTGCACGTTGAAACCAATAGGAAAATAGTTTAAAAGTTAATGTACAGACATGCATTCGATCATACACACCGAAATTAACATAGTGAATTAAGAGTCTAAGTTACAATGAATAGACAGATGATACAGTGGCCAAATGGGCTTGCCACAGCTTCTTTAGCTTCAGTTTCGTCCTGGTGATTTGATGGTAGATCAACTATTCCTTTTCTTCTGATGTATTTCATGAAACTTATGAACTGTACTGATTTAAATGTGGTTGATCTGGTTGTTTATAATGGGATCCAGTAAATCTTATGAAGATTTGATCATGCGTTTATGGTGAAATAAAGTGCCACCCATTACTTTTTGAAAGTACAAAAATTTGCAAATCTGTCTCTATTCTCGTTCTTTTCTCCTAGGCAGATCATGTCGTCCCATGATATATTCATAACCCGTGCTGTTGTTTGACGTTTATGTCCCATCAGGATGGTCATGTCCTTTACTGAACGCTTCGCTATGATCGACTGCAGCCCTTCATAGAAATGACCTTTATCGTCGTCATTACTATCATTGGTGGATGCATAACACTGGATAACATTCGCTGTGATTACCTCCTTCTTTGTTATGAAGAAGACTTTATTATTCTTGGATCCATACGATCCCAATCCCTTAAGTGCTTTCTGTGCTTCTTTGGAAACGATCATTGTAACTTCTTGTGTGTGCGAAGCATCTACATGAACAGAGTACAGAAGAACCTCTCTAGAATCTAATCTTTTCAGTCTAGCATGAATTCAATGGGTTTCACTGATTCTGGGTACCTGCAAGTTGTATCTCTTCATTTCCGCATCTATTTGGTCCTCCCAGTATCCCACATTTTCCGAACATTCTATGTACCTATATTAATTGTTGTTGTGGTTATTATAAGGGTCATAACCTTCTTGACTCTCAAAGAATTTCGGCTTTCATCATGAGGTTTCATAATTCTTCGGATTGAAGACCCTTGAAGTACCAAGACAGTTTAAATTATTCGTTCAGTTAAGTGTATTTCAAGCATTGTTGTTTTCTACGGGATGTGGTTAATGACCTCATAATCAGTCCTCCTTCTTTACCCGGGTTTAGACAGGCAGTTGCCCTGGTAAAGCGACAAACGGAATTAGCCACACCTCTGCTGTTCATATATCTGTGGATGCTGTACTCATGTTATGAAGAAATAAATTTGATTTATACTTTGGAGCACTGAATATTAACCCTCCTGGCTTCAATAACTCGATGGTTGTCTTTTATTAAATGTGTCCACAATATGATGATCGCATATTTTTTACTCAAAAGGTAATCTTCACGCTATGACCGCCTTGTAAAACCCAACCACAATTACTCAACAAAAAGAAAAATGCCCTTTTCTGTCGATTCGACTCATGAATGTATAATTTTCATACATCCAGTTTGCATCAAGAAAAGTTGGAAAAGTAATCTAGGACATTGATCATAAAGTGGTCACAGTACTTACTTACGCCTGTTACTACCAATGGAGCATAGGCCGCTGACCAGCATTCACCAACCCACTCTGTCCTAGGCCTTCTTTTCTAGTTCCATCCAATTCTTGTTCATTTTTCTCATATCTATCACCATTTCTCGGCGTAGTGTGATCTTTGGTCTTCCTCTTTTCCTTTGACCCTCAGGATTCCATGTGAGGGCTTGTCTTGTGACACAGTTGGGTGCTTTCCTCAATGTGTGTCCTATCCATTTCCAGCACTTTCTGATATCTTCCTCCACTGCGATCTGGTTTGTTCTCTCCCACAATGGCTTGTTGCTGATAGTGTCTGGTCAACGGATCCGAAGTATTTTGCGTAGACAGCTGTTAATAAACACTTTCATCTTCTAGATGATGGCTTTCGTAGTTCTCCAGGTTTCCGCCTCATACAGTAGAAGCGTCTTGACATTTGTATTGAAAATCCTGACCTTGGTGTTGGTTGACAGTTGTTTTGAGTTCCAGATATTCCTCAGTTGTAAATATGCTGCTTTTGCTTTGCCGATCCACGCCTTCACATCTCCATCAGATCCACTGTGCTCATCAATGATGCTGCCTAGATATGTAAAGGTTTTTTCATCCTCCAAAGCTTTTCCATTAAGTGTGATTTGATTAATGCGTGTTGGGTTGTATCGGAGAATCTTGCTTTTCCGTTTTTGTATATTGAGATGTACTGCTGCTTAGACTGCTGCTCCACTGGTCGTCTTCTCATGTATTTGTTACTGCCTGTGCGATAGAAGAGACAGATCATCTGCGAAGTCCAGATTGTCCAACTGCATCCTAGCTGTCCATTGTATCCCGTGCCTCCCTTCAGACGTTGACGTCTTCATGATCCAGTCGATCACCAGGAGAAAGAGAAAGGGTGAGAGTAGGCAACCTTGCCTAACACCGGTCTTCACTTCGAACGACTTTGTCAACTGTCCTCCATGCACAATTTCGCAGTGTAATCTATCATATGAGTTCTGTATGATATTGACTATATTCTGAGGCACGCCGTAGTGTCGAAGAAGTTTCCATAGTGTTGTTCTGTCCACGCTGTCAAATGCGGTCACAGTAACTGATTCTTAACCAAAAAAAATTTCGAAAGGAACTTCCGAACTCTATGGAATGGTAATAAGTGCTTCTGGATAAAATGTTTCTTTTACTATAAATATTTTGGCAGCGTTTTAATGTCCATACACCGCTCATTGAAATTTCAATAATATATATAAATGAAGAGGCTAGAAATAATCCCGGGCATTATTTTATGAACTGTATAGAGTATTATTAGTAAAAACGAAATCAGTTGAGGGACTCCTAACCGTGGCACATAATAATAAGCCCCCATATTATTAAATCATTTTCGAAAACTATAAGCGTAAAGTAAGCTCATTTTAAGACCTCCATTGATGGCAGAGTTGTGGGGCTCTTTATTTAGACGCCAATTAGATCAGAGGATGTTGTCGATGAACTCACCATTTTACTGACCCGAGATCTGACTCCAGTTAAATCGTATGAATGTTATTAAAATATACATGTCTTCTATACTCGTTTATAAATCATCGACTTTTATCGCGTTAGTGTAAAACAGAATTAAATAAGTCAAATGCGAGAATGGATTTCGACTATGTATATTTCATACATTCGTTGATTGGAAAGCGAAGCAAATTAAAATGGTGAGCATTAGAGTAAGCGTGTATATATAGCCCCCAAATGCTCTGGTACGGCCGAGAGTCCGCTCTCCCTCTCAAAATACTCTCACATGGCCACGCGTATATAGCCTCTGCCAGGGAAGTCCTACTCACTGCCTTCCCGTGGCAGGGGTGTTGTTTACGAAATTGAGAAAACGAAAAGCGAATGTCCGGAGTTCTAACCGGATCCCAAACCAATGGCGCACATGGGCGCCAGTATCCTGAAGGAACAGGTGGCGTATGAACCAAATGTTGGTCACCAGCTACAATGGGACTGCATCTGCTCACGATGCTCCACTGCCTTCTGGATCAGACCTTCAGGTCGAAGGCTCGGGGTGTGGCCCCCTAAGAAAACCACCTGCTTCGGTTTGGGCACCCAGGCAGTATCACAGCCCACACAAACACAAATATGGTGTGGCGCATATGTATTTGGTGCCTCCTTGTACCAATATCTATGTGTTAAATTATATATATACGGTGAGTTGTCTTCAGCTTACAAAACTTTTGGCTTGCAAAAATCAACTCACTTTACAAACTGACCTTAGACGAAAACCCGATTTCCATATTGACTTACTGTTTATTTGTGACGCATGCATGTTTGAAATATGCGTAATCAAAAGCAACTTCACGTCCGACCATTTGATTCCACGTTGTGTTCATGCGATTAGTCAGAAGAATATTTACGACTTTAAATAAGATCTATAATTTATTTCAAATCTCTCATTATTAGAGTCAACAGTGATAAAGCCTGACTGTCTTTGGCTACAGCATTTCCCCCACCAACTAATCGTGTCAAGTTCGATACTCAGTAGCATCCAAGGAGTTTATTAATGATTTTACATGGAAAGCAATGAAAATTTCATTTGCGTTTGTATTCTCATCTCAGAAGACAATTTTCAATACTTGTGTATCAATGTCAGCTTCTGTTGAATACAAACTTTCGACCTACCAGTCGGAAATATCAACTTAGTAGTGGAAATCAATATTTTTATCTGTACAGGATGAGGTTGGTTATCCAAGATGTGGGAGTCTGGGAAATCGTTGCCGGAAGGAAAATCTTTCATGCAATTGGTTCCCTTTATGAATTTAAATAGAGCAAGAACAAACATCGATGCAGAATAGGATGAATTCATATTATTTCGAGGTTTGTCGTCAGCTGCTTACAAACCAAAATTATGATAGAATTTTTACATGGAGATTGAGTGAGAACAAATGACATAGATGAGTGTAAATAACTGGGTTACAATAATAACTATATATATATATGCTAGAAACAGGTCAGAGGTCAAAGGAGGGGGGGTTAATCCAGGGTGGGTGGTGTAATAATTCAGTGAAGTTCATAAATTGTGTGATAATTGTAGAGATTAATGGAATTAAATAATGATAAGGTAGATTAAGTAATAATAATTAAATAGGGTTTTGAAAGTTAAGATGATTTAAGATGATCAGGTGATGGAAATGTGTGAATAAAATTTATTTTAAGAATTAGGTAATAGGGGGGAGTATAAATTATCTTAGAATAAATAAATGAATAAAATAACCAAAACACAAAACAAACAGAAACAAAGGGATTACCAGGGTAGTGATAAGTTTATTAAAGTCTCTTTTTGGATGCATAAGTCCAGTTTCAGTTTCTTAATTGCAATGGCTTCAGCAAAGCGGAGAGTGGTAGTAGTACTTTGTCTATTGATAATTTTAAATGCGCGCATAATATCGACGGTATGCCCGGTGTCAAGTAGATGCCGAGCTATTGCACTGTTAAAAGCTTTAGTCCCTCGGAGCGTCAAGTTCTTCGGAATATCTTTTGTAGGCATTTATCTGGATAATCTTAAGCGCCTGAAATTTGATAATGATTGGACGAGTGTGGTTCCCAAGCATAAAACTTGACAGCAATTGAGAAAAATGCTGAGTACCGAATAAATGCTGTCTTTGTGCTGACACGACTGCATTATGAGCGTTTCTTATGATGTCTTATCATTGTCAAAAAGGACTTCAACAAATTTTACAAGACAACAGCAATCTATGTCAGCACCACGAATAACATTACCAGAAGATAGAGTTTTAGGATCCTGATGTGGATTGATTGTAATGCTTAAACTTGCTTGTGATTGAATTTTGTAATACTAGGTAGATCGAACTAGGTTGATGAAATGAATAAACACACATTGTATATGAGAAGGAAAAACACAACATCAGAAAACTAACTATACAGTACGCAGCCTCACTGACTGTTGATAACAGCTGATATTTATAAAACACTTGACAGTTATCATAACTAGGCAAACTGATGTTTGAATTGGGTCCTACAAGTTCACTTATCAGTCAGAACGCCAACATATTGAGACCTAGTCAAATTGATTGGTGGATTATAAACAGGTCTAGAAAACTATATATGGTTTCATATACAGTCATTACTGAAGAACAACCAGGACGCCACGATTTCTGTTCTTGTTTGTAATACTAATGGTGTTACAAAAATTACATAAGTACATGACGTGACACCTGACAGGAAGTGACCTAATCAGGCTACGACAAGGGCGGTCTGCTTTAGCATCTGGGCTACCTGTTTCTGCCATCTAGATATTTCAACAAGTTATCTATTGTTGTTTGTTTTAATATATCATTATGTTAATTATTCGCATAACCTATTCTGCTGCGTTTCTGAAAAGTGTACAACCTTTCGTTGTCAAAGTTACAGAAAACTCAATAAGAGACAATATGGTTGCTGGCAATATACAACGAAAAGAATGTACATTATTCAGTTGTTCATTCACTGAAGTGCTAACATCTAACTGGTGATCCCTCAATATTTATCGCCAGGACCGACCAAGAAGAAAGAAACGGGAACCTGTTGAAATACTTTGCGCTGAGAATTCTATATTGTACCAAAATTATAATATTGAATAAAGCTAATAATAATAACAATAATGAGCTATGGTATAGAAATTGCTCAAGTTCAGAATTTGGTTCCCATTGCTTCGCGACTTGAGCACCAATAATGATGAATAGTTTATTTTGCTATGATATCAATCTGCTTAAACCATAGGATCTTTCGATGAGAATTTAAGGCTAGTTAGAAATACACTTAACAAGTTGCATTTGAGTTCAGTAATAACTGTTTTCTGTTACAGATAAAGTGCTACGGTGTGACATTTCTATGCCTTGATAAAATACGAGAGTTGAACACTTATTTGTTGTCGACCACTACTGTTCAGAAAAATATGCATTTATTATTGTACCAAAGGGGGGAATCAAATATGAATACAGTGATTTTGAGGGCTGTTAAAGGTATGAAGGCAGTTATCACTTTCCGGTTGCCCACACCATGGAAGGGTTCTTCTGGAGGTACCTGAAAAGAAAATTGGGTTAGAGTTGGTTTTAGCGACCTGAGAGCGTGACTGCAGTGCCTAAGGAACAACTGCTTGTGGCAGATCACACACAACTTTTTGTGTTAACTCCGTGTTTGTTGAAACCTAGCCGCTGGAGACGAAAATCCGTGTGATAAGGCGAGGTGTGCATTTTTAGGGTCGACATTTTCTAACCCAATCCCTCCTTTGTGGGAAGACAGCATCGCTGTTATGCTGTCTGTCTGAGGGAAACACCTTACTGCTCTCACATCCCTATACAATCAGCAGTACGACTTCTTCGGTTCTTGGGTTTGCAGCTTTTAATCTTACCACTCCTCAACCGACCTGCCTGGAATAGTAAGACCTTGAGGAACGATTATTCCAGTCAGTATAACTCGATTGGTTCATTACGATAAGGAAGCCCGATCACCACGTCAAGGTAGCAGCAACAATTGGGATTGTATCAGACTACATGATAATATCAATAACTATTAGAGGAGCACTGGGAAACCTGGTGATTCAAATAATTAAAAACGTCATACCTTTAGAAGAATAAAACAATTCCTCAGTATATTCAATTACTTCGAACACTTACTAAATAGTTAGAGAAGTAGAAATATTGTTTAAATGAATGAAATCAATTGTTCTACACCAGAAAAGTATATTAAATACATTGCATCTAAATGGACTATTTCAAATCTAACAAATCATTTGACAAAAATAATATTAGAATAATAACTAAAATGCAATTGTGAATAAATGGAATACATTCATATAAAATTAATTTTCCTCTTACAGATATGGAATTTAATTCGAACATTCATTTATTTTGTTTTTGTTTATTTAAAACAAATTATAAACCTTTATTATAATAAACAACTGAAGGTAACCGATCAGATCGAATTTCTTTAATATGTGCTTGAACATCAGGTTCAAGTTTATGAAATGGAATTGAACTGATTTGTGGGAATACAGCACAGCATAAAGGCGTTACAAGTGATAACCTGAAAAGAAAAAAGTGATTGGATATTTTTTTTATTGAAGAAGAAGTAGAATAAAGTTGCTGTCAATTAAATTGTTTATCGAGTCATAATTAAATTTTTTGTGTACAATGAAAAATACATTTTTTTTAAATGTCCAATTACATTTGCAGTGTCGGTAAGCATGTTAAGCCCTTATGCTAGCTTACGGACATGTCAATCTATTCATTCTGAGATGGTGGAGAAGATTTGTAGGTGGATGATTTTGGTGGAGTTTTGTTCTCTGAGCTGAATGGTTTGGTCGTGGAGCTTTCATCGTTCTTCTGAACGACATCATCAGCACAAACTTCAGGTAGAAGTCCAAACCATCCAGGTCAGAGAACAAAACTCCACCAAAATCTATTCATTGTACTTGAGTCGTATTTTGACATTGTTAATTATTCGCTTATCAACTTTGACTATTTTTATATGAGCGCGTATATATGTGTGTACACTTCTTATCCCATTACTCATCACATGTCTGTAACTTATTTTTGTGTGACTATAAATATTGATTGACGTTTGACTAAATGGAGCTGGTTACCTGCCATCTCTACTGCGCGTCGTTTCGCTTCGCTCTATTCCGTTCTCTTCGATATTTTATCTGCATCAACGTATTCGAAATTCATTCTCGTATTTGACTCATTTAATTCCGATATTGACTAACGCGATTTAAGTCGATAGTTATATACGACGGTAGGCGACATACATATTTCGGTAGCAACCATTCAATAACAAACATTCATACGATCAAATTGGAGTCAGATACGGGCCACTAAAGTGGTGAGACCGTTGACAACATCTTTTGATCTAAATGATGAAAAAATAAAGGGCCCCACTAAACATTAATAAATTTTTATTAACAAAGTATGTTCTGTGTTCTCTCCATGTTCTAACTAACTTATTTCAAATGTTTACAGATTGTATTTTATGAAATCGGTTTTCGATTTCATTGTAGTGCCTTTTTTTTCTGTTTATGATTAATGTGGCCATCTATATTACGAGACATTTATGCTAATTTAAAACTTAGCGAACCTAATTTAATTTTGATAAAGATATATGTTGGGACGACCTTCGAGAACTACGAAGAAGCCTCCAGAGGCTCTTGAAGAGCCGAAGAGTTCTATACAGTCAGAACGCAATGGAGCTTTCTAGAATGTCAACGTGGTATGCTACCACTGGTCAGTAGCATAACATGCCTCTCTGCAGATTAGCCGAATTATAATGTTGATTCACCAAACGCTAATATCTATAAAAACCCGTAATTTTATGTATACTTAGATTCTAGCATTCAGATGCTCAAATCATATGCGGTATATTAAATATCTAAGCTTCTAGATATTACAACTGGCGACGGGGTTAACTTATCAAGATGTCATTTACCTTTGACTAATTCGAAGCCTTGCTGGAGCGTCAAGAAAAACGTTTCGAACAGTTCCAGATTCGTATTCTAGAAGCTCTAACCCAGCAAATGAATCTAAATCAAAAGGAGCTTACAGATGGTCCGTTCAAATCCCACGTCAACCACATCATTAATTCTATCCATGAATTTCATTTCGATGATTTGGCTGGAGTTACACTTGAATCGTGGTTCAAGAAATACGAATATGTATTCAAGGTCGACCTAGAAAAACTTGATGATACCGCAAAAGTCAGAGTACTGCTACGCAAACTTGGCACAGCTGAAAATGAACGCTACACCAACTTCATTCACTTCAATAATCCCAGAGACACTTCATTTTATGCAACGGTTGTAACTTTGTCACAAATCTTTGGTGAACAGTCATCTTTATTCAATATTCGTTACCAATGTCTGAAGTTGGCTAAAGCTAGAGACGATGACTGGGTGCAATACGCTGGTATAGTAAATCGCGAGTGTGAGCGTTTCAAATTATCATCAATGATCGAAGACCAGTTGAAGTGTCTTGTTTTTGTATGCAGCTTGCAGTCACCTGAAGATGCCGACATCAGAACCAAAATTCTGAGTAAAATTGAACAGCGTTCAAATATAACATTATAAGAAGTAACTATTGAATGTCAGAGGTTGGTAAACTTAAAATATGACACTTCTATGGTTGAAATGACAGGAAAAAATATCTTTAATCGAAAAGCTGGTTACGTTGACAAAATCTAACAGTTTACACAAATTACTGCTACAATACACAATCCTTAATTCTCAGAAGTAAAGTTGTCAAAATAAACTAATTAGAATATAGAAAGTAAGATAATTTGAAAACGTTAACACCTTTGAAAAATATGCCGACTACAACACCTGTGAATCAACTTACACTAAACCGACTAAGCTAATTTGTATTGGAGCTCCCAACCAAGGATAACGAATAAGCAATTTTTGTTTTTCCAATGATTGCATCACAAAAGGCAAAATTGCTGAGGTAAGTAGATATAAAGAAAAAAAATGTCAGTTTCTATTAATTAAGTAATTATCATTGATTAATGTTGGTCGTTTATCTTCAAATATTTATTTAAAAACTCAAACAACGTGTACATAAAGTATATAAAGCCCTCGAATGCCCTGGTACGGCCTAAGGTGGGAGAGTCAGCTCTCCCTCTCCAAATGGTATCACATGACCATGCGTATACAGCCACTGTCACAGAACTTCTACTCACTGCCTTCTCGTGGCAGGGGTGTTGTTTTGCGAAATTGAGAGGACGAAAAGCGAATGTCCGGCGCATTAACCGGGCTGGTGGACATGGAGAGTCCACTTAGGGGAGTTGGAAAACCCTGATACCAAACCAGTGGTGCACATGGGCTCCGCGATCCCGAGGGAACAAATGGCATATGAACCAAACGTTAATCATCGGCTACCATGGGACTGCATCTCCTAAAGTTGTTCAACTGCATTGTGGGTCAAACCTTCAGGTCGAAGGTTCCGGGTGTGGTTCCCTAAGAAAACCATCAGCTTCAGTTTTGGCACCCAGGCAGCATCCCAGCCCTCACGAAAATCGAATGATTCATGTGGCGCATATCTATTTGATGCCTCCTTGTACCAATGTTTAGGTGTTTAAATGAATAAATAAATAAATAAATAAGATACAGGCCAATTAAAATTCTGAAACTAATAATTGAAGTAAATATTGATGACATAGGATGAGAGAAATAATACTGTAATTAAAAATGAGACCAAACGCTCAACGAGAGACTACGGAATGTATAAACTGGTATGGATTAAGCAAGAAATGATAAAATGAGATGAGTGCTAATTAAATTAGTGATAGACAAAACACATCCTCACAACACAGAACTATCATATTATTATATGACTTACTCATTCCAGGGGAAGCCATTAATATTCGTGATAAAACCACTTGACTAACAGCTCTACGTCCTACAACAGTTGATTTACCCAATTTCTCACCATTTTCATCCAATATAGGTGTACCTTCAGTTAGTTCTGCACTTCTCATACATGGAATATTAATACAATTAGCTGCAGAGACTGCAATAAATGGTACAAATCGACCAATTATAGGAGGGAATTTCTAAAATTGAAAAAGAAAGCAAATAAAAAGAATTTAGAGAGAAAAAAGTGCTCACGGAATATGTGCATATTTTAATTTATGAAAAGAAGATTCTAGTTTCAGAGATAGTTGGTCATCTGCTAAAACACATCAAACTCCATTAGCCTGTTTATTCACAACAATATGAAACAGTGTTTGTAGTAGAACAGTAGCTCTGTCGAAATTAAATTTTTATCCTTTTTATTTTTCCCAGAAAACAATATCATTCTCTATATGATTCCCACTTACTGAAAATTTGGATATTTAACTTTAGATAATGACTGATATACATATATAACTCAACGATAAATGTTATAAGACTATTTCATTTGTAAAATCAAATATACACTTTTATGACAGAATTTTAGATAAACAGTGATTAACACTGATAATCTATTTGAAAATCAAAGGAAAAAGAAACAAACAAATAACCAAATTCCATTACAAAATTAGTAATGGGTAGAAGTACAGTATAGGGACGACTCAATCAAAATCGAGAATGTAACTTCCACGTTTAGACGTGAAATTCAAATACAACGTATGCAATGCATTCGAAACCTTAAGCTATCAACTGGTTTCGATTATCAGATTGTTTTAATTGATTGTTATAAGTTACTTACATTACTGGATGTAGGTACATAGTATGTGTTTACTAAATCGACGGTTGACTTTTCTTCTTATTCTTTTCTTTTCAGATTCACTCACCTAATGCTTCCAACACTGCCCCAACACACACATGGTACCTTTAGGCTAAATGCAAATCTACCAGAGGTTGGACATTACATACATAAAGAGTAGTAGAAACACTTATGTATGGTGCTCAAAATGTTCAGAATACTTACTTCCTTACGCCTGTTACTCCCAATGGAGCATAGGCTGCCGATCAGCATTCGCCATCCCACTCTGTCATGGGCCTTTCTTTTCAGTTCTGTCCAATTTGTGTTCATCCATCTCATGTCTGTCTCCACTTCTCGACGTAATGTGTTCGTTGGTCTTCCTCTCCTCCTTTGGCATTGAGGATTCCATGTGAGGGCTTGCCCTGTGACACAGTTGGGTTCTTTCCTCAATATGTGTCCTATCCATTTCCAGCACTTTCTGATATCTTCCTCCACTGCGATCTGGTTTGTTCTCTCCCACAATGGCTTGTTGCTGATAGTGTCTGGTCAACGGATCCGAAGTATTTTGCGTAGACAGCTGTTAATAAACACTTTCATCTTCTAGATGATGGCTTTCGTAGTTCTCCAGGTTTCCGCCTCATACAGTAGAAGCGTCTTGACATTTGTATTGAGAATTCTAACTTTGGTGTTGGTTGACAGTTGTTTTGAGTTGCAGATGTTCTTCAATTGTAGATATGCTGCTTTTGCTTTGCCAATCCGCGCCTTCAGATCTGCATCACATCCACCGTGCTCATCAATGATGCTGCCTAGATATGTAAAGGTTTTTTCATCCTCCAAAGCTTTTCCATTAAGTGTGATTTGATTAATGCGTGTTGGGTTGTGTCGGAGAATCTTGCTTTTCCGTTTTTGTATGTTGAGATGTACTGCTGCTTAGACTGCTGCTCCACTGGTCGTCTTCTCATGTATTTGTTACTGCGTGTGCGATAGAAGAGACAGATCATCTGCGAAGTCCAGATTGTCCAACTGCATCCTAGCTGTCCATTGTATCCCGTGCCTCCTTTCATATGTTGACGTCTTCATGATCCAGTCGATCACCAAGAGAAAGAGAAAGGGTAAGAGTATGCAACTTTGCCTGACACCTGTCTTTACTTCAAACGAGTCTGTCAACTGTCCTCCATACACGATTTTGCAGTTTAATCCACCATAGGAATTTCGTATGATATTGACTATCTTTTCAGATACGCCGTAGTGAAAATGTCCAAAATGAAAGAGAAAATGTTTTTGTGATGCATGGAGAAAACTGATGATCTTAAACTTATTAAATGCTTAATTCTGTTTCTGTGGATTGTATATGATATGGAGAATTGACATTATCTCTAAATTATAAACTTATATTTTAGAGACGAAGCAATCAAGGTAACTTACATGTTCTTTAGAATTGAAATCAAATGACTATCCACACAACTATTCATCAATATAACTACAAAATGTTCTCCCCCCACCATTATAAACCCAACTTCTAATCTTGACCATTATCGGTCCTCATTCTTTTATATTACATAAATACTGATTTCTTATTTAAAAAAATTGACTTTAATGTCTCATGATTTCCATTAAATCATAGAATAAACAAGCATCAAAAGTTATAACTACGAATAGTGTAATTAGATTAATTTAGTAAATATTTATCAATTATAAAATGATTTGTAAATAAAAGGCTAATTCATAAATTGTATTGAATTTTCAGTTCATGTAAGCAATAGATCGTTGAAAGTGGAATATAATCATGTTTTTTTTCAAAAAAATCATTTCATATGAACAATCAACTAATAATAATAATAATAATAATAATAATAATAATAATAATAATAATAATAATAATAATAATAGTAATAATAATAATAATAATAACGACAAAATTCACTACATTTTTACAAAAACTATTTAATATGCCGTATAAAAATTAATTAATCAATACAGTTATACCCTGTTTACTAAACAGGATTAGAACAGTACATCTATGGGTCATACAACGATATTTATTATAATAATAATAGTAACAGTAGTAGTTGTAGTAACAATAGTAATAATAATAATAATAATAATAATAATAATAAGGGTTTATTGAAATATTTATACACTCATTTTGATTACCTATCAAGACTCATGTATGTGTACTTGTTCTTTTGTTTGTATATAACGAGTGAAGTAGATGTTTCATTATAGAATGAACGGATTATTAACAGACAATGTGACAGTATAAGTGAAGATAAAATTTTTAAAAAAATTATCTATTATGACTGAGAACAAACCAGCTTCCAGCTGAAGAGGAAATTAGGAAAAGACGATGGAAATGGATAGGACATACACTACGCAAATCTTCAAACTGTATCACGAGACAAGCCATAAATTGGAATCCTGAAGGAAGGCAGAAAAGAGGAAGGCCAAAGAACACATTACGTCGGGAAATAAAATTAGATGTGAAAAGGATGAATAACAACTGGAAGGAGCTGGAAATGATTGCCCAAGACAGGGTTGGATGGCGAATGTTCCTTCACGAGAAGTAACAGGCGTAAGTAAGTAAGTAAGTAATGACTCAGATAGAGAAATATAGGTATATAATCATACTTTCTAGATCCCGAGCAAAAAGGGCTACCTAAACAAAAGAAGCGTTGAAAATACATCGAACTGATAGCCACTAATGTTACATAAGGAAGTGAAATTATTTCTGTGTGTTTTTGAATTGGATAAACATATTAATCTGATGAAAATTGATAGGAATATAATCCATTTCAAACAATCTCATATGAATAAAGGAAGATCTTTAGAAAACATTGTTTAAGATGAATGATTTATGACAGTGGTACATATTGAATCTAGTTAAAAATAAATACTCATAGAAGTAACATCTGGAATTTAAAGAAGCATCGGAAAAGAAATATGTGACTTCATAATGAATTGACGAGTAGATTGTTAATCACATATACTTTGATGATTCACTTCTGTTAGAATATGGTTTATACTTTTAAAAATGACAGTTCTCGATATTGACTTAAAACATAATTATTCACAAGACTATTACAATCCCACTCATATTGATAAAACAGTTAAGATGTTTTAATAGTTGAGATCATGAGTCAAATGAAGCTAGACCACCATGGAAAACCTGGAAGCACTGGGCAGCCGTTTCATCCTATTATGGGACTCCTCAGCAGTGCCCATCCACGACCCCGCCTCACGAGATTCAAATCTAGGACCTATCGGTATCCTGCGCGAGCGCTTAACCACTAGACCACTGAGCCAGTCGGCATCCAATGGTGTTAATGTCTAACTTTAACTAATCCACAAAATTGAGTGACACATCCATCATTGTCTTCAGTGAGTTACTATCTCACAACAGACCCAGTTGAACTCCACTGATCACTGCTTCTCACTAGAACTCCAGGAAATATCTCTTGGACCCAATCACCAGTCAGCATATGTTTTAGCCATCGTAATTAATAATTACGTGTACATTCAATGACATAAGAGTAAATCTATTTACATATAATTAAATAGAATAATATCTAGTAGTTAATAAATATATATGTACGTGAAACCAATAGAAAACAAAAAAAACAATTACTAATTCAAATAGCAGAAAGAAATAATTTACTTGAACTTGTTTATTGATAGTTAATGCAGTGCCTAATGCTCCACCAGTAGCCAAAACATATGATATCCCAAGACGTCTGTTGGAACAGAAAAAAAAGTGAACATGAAGGAGATATGTACATAGATTGTCTCAGTGCGAAAACTAATACTTGTATTAAGATGAGTGAATTAAAATGAGTAATCTATTGCCTACCAATATTACGAAATGTTGGAGAAGATTTATTACGGAAGGAGGATGATTTTGGTCGACTTCCGTTTTTTAAGCTTGATGACTTCTTACTCGTGATATTGCTTGTCTCTTGTACTTTTTGTTTGATTTGTTGAAGGGAGTTATTATGATTGGTGTTCTAAAGTGAACACTTTTTCCAGATTTTTCCTTTGGTCGTTTATGATAAAATCTAAGCATCCAGGTCAGATAGGTAATTCGATTCCATTAAACCTAAGATATCCATATTGTTGTCGAGTGACAAGTGGCATACAACCTAGTACTGATGAACTCTTAACATTTAGGAATTGGTATATATCTGTCTTCATGGAGCTTCATTCTCTGAGCTGGATGCTTTAACAGTAGAGTTTTCATTAGCATGAATTTCAGGTGGAAGTGACCTATTCGAATTTGTCTACATATAACTTTGATCTAATTCTCGATTTTATATTCGTACATATTTTCCCACTTGAGTCCATAATTGTCTACGTGCATTAGTACAGAATGGCGTATAACAGTTAATTGATGCCATGTAGAAGATGAAGAAGACTGCCACTTCATCCGATGTATTCTTCTTTGCAGTTAGAGGTTTGTCATATGGATAACCTTTGGCTTTTCTCTATTTTTCATTCTATCCTTTGATTTTCATAAAATCGATTGAAGTGAGTTTGTTAGTTTATGTACTACATCTATTTTAAACGGCCTCAATAACCTTATTAAAAATTCTGATATGTCCTCTACATATGGTAAAAGAGGGAGATGATCAAAATAAATATGCACACAACGACAGGCTAAAGGTTAAAGACAACCAATCAAGATCAACATTGTTAGTTATATGTGGAGAAATTTGAATAGCTAATTTGTACTAGAAGTTTGTGCTGATGATGTTATTCAATAAAACAATGAAATGTGCACGGTTAAACCATCCAGCTCAAAGAACGAAACTCCTTCAAAAGGTTCTGAGAATGTATGGTGAATTAATTGTATAATTTATAGATATTGTCGGTCATGATTTCTTTAGTCAATTTTAACAGTACAACGATAATTTGTAATAATCTTTAACTAAACAATCAGAATAAAGAAACAAAAACCCAAATTTATATACATATTCAATCCCTAGCTAAACTGTAGGCGTGTACAGTATCAAACATTTTCTGGCATTTTTCCTTCTATTTATTAAACGAGCGCTACATATAAGAGCATAATTTTCCCTGAGGATTTCATTTTAAGCTCTGAATTTCACTTTGATTGATTTTTTTTATTGGGAAAGTTGAGTTACGCTACAGTGACGTAATCATAGAACATACATGTACATAGTTTCAAAGGATTGGAATGAAATCCTCAGTAAGAATAAAAGAGTATGCATTTATATGCAGAATTCATTCACTAAATGAAAGGAAGATAATCGAAAATGCTAGACGTTGCAATCTTATTGAAAATTGAAAAAAGGGATAATCTTATATCAAATTCTAAGTAAACAATGATACATTTTATGCATGATTTTTACTCTCATCAATAAAAGCGATATGTTTACCATCGTACACACAAGTCTTTCATTAATAGACAGTATTTCATTGTAAATAACTTTTTTTGTTTATCTATAAAATATTTTATTGAACTCAATAATTTTGTTGGATTGGTAACAAATAAGTTCAAATGTAAGTTTTGAATACACACTAATACAGTTTAATTTGTCTTCAAGTATAACGGTAACATCTTTTTAGTCATTTCATCCAGTATAACTTTCTTATATACATCAATAAATCAAACTAAGAATAATACATACAATACAATGTCACGGTGATACTAAAAAAGCATAATATACTTAAACAAAACAATCAGTATAAAAGTTAGTATTTTTATGCAAAGTTAACTACATAGAAAAGAGAGGGTGAATAGGATCGTATACTGTATACAAAGGCTTTGCATAGTACTTTATCGATTTTTCTACAGTTTCTATTGGGTTTTCTGCACTTATAATTGCTCTGATCCTTTAAATACATGTCAATAGTAATCTAATCAACTGGGCACAAAAGCATCCAAAACATCCTGGCATTGTTTCTCAGTGCTGCCAAAAGACTCTGTGTTTTATCATTTTCTTCATCAAACAGGACTATGTCATCTGCGTGAAGCAATTAACCATTATACAATGGAAATGTAAACAATAACTTTAGGTAAGACCGTTCCAAAAGTTTAGTTTTTCTCAGTATTCATTTCAATATAGCAGATCATACACAATCTATCTATCGATATAGATGTATCTGTTGCTAATAAGTCAATAATTTAGTGAAATACACTTATCACAAAAACAGTTCTAATGTTTACTCTAAACAATGTGAGAAATATGTTTTAAATGAAGCCACATTATTCATAACTTGGGGATATAAAGACCCAACATTATTTCGTGGGGGAGGATAGGATTGAAAAATCTATGGTTCGAATTCTAGATATTAATGATTTCAGTACAAAACCGACGTGCTGATTGTATACAATTCCAGGTGAGTCTGTTCCGATTTCGTTTCTTAATTCCAATACTAATGAGCACTTTCTAGATACTACAAAGTTTTTATCTTATACGATGTCGGACAGACTCAGGATGAACTTAACAAGAAGACGTAGAACCGATTACAAACACTTATACTTCTATTTAAGCTGTGGCGGATGTGGTGTTTGAATGGACTAATGATACCTTTGTACTGGTTGAATGTTTGATTTCGAATTCAAAATACAATACATTCTTTTGTGCCTGTGTCTTCTTAATTCAATTGCGTTAATCCTGGAATTCCTAATTCATACGATAATTAGAATACTATACATTATCCTGTTTAATGTTGATTGAGCTCTGATCAAACAAAATTTAGGGGTATTTACAACAAGATGACAACGCGTCTTTTGGTTTTTTTTAATTCACATAAATCATTTACTTTTTGGATGATTTACAACAAATCGTTTGTTCATATTGTTCGTAATCTTGTTCATCGTTAGGATAATTCCAATTTCGATAGAACAATGAGAAGACGGAGTTGATCTGAAAAATGTTCTAAAAATTGTTCTATCGAAATTTATAAAAGGGACTAATTGCTTTAAATTCCAATTATCGAAAAAAAACTAATGACGAATAACTACCTTTATTCTAATTAGCTACTTTAAGGGTCTGACAGTGACAGTACGCTTTAATAGTTTTACTTAAAATCAATGCAGTTGGTCATAATAATTATACAATTACATATCATATGCGTTAAAAGGTCAGTGTAATTTGTTTGTTATCTAAAACCTTAAGAAAAGAAATGGAAGAGTGTGATATAATTTTGATAAATATTTTCCAAAAATAGATTTATTCATCAGTATACACCACTAGAATAAATGTCCGTTCAAAATTATCGGTCAGTTAATAAATAGAAGTAGAACCTGCCACATTTATTCAAGCCGCCACACAGTATATATCAGCACAACAGAATAAAAAGAGACAAAGTAGAAGTAGCGATAGTACCAGTGGTAGCAGAAAACATTACCGCTTTAAGACAAAGCGTGAATGTATTTATGCTACTGTGATAGATTCCGAAACATGTCAACCAACGTCTTTGACTACTTGGTTAGGGTAACCGCGCGGACCTCAAAAAATCGTTTGCCGCCACCAACACGTCTCATCTCAACAGACGATGGCTTTACAGACTAGTGGCTAGTATTGGTTTAGCCCTATCCCTAGCTCACTTCTAATCTACTCTTATACCAGCAAACATAATGCATCAAAGAGGGGGGTGACTGTGCGTGATACACATATTAACTATTTCAGTAGATGAAGATTCACAAGCTCAAGTTGTTAAATAGCATATACCTTACCTTTGTATTGCTCACACCATGGTCCTAAAATACACGGGAAATGCTTCGAAAGCATCTATAATCGAATACTATGAATACTCAATATTTTTAAAAGCCGTCTCACAAACATGAAAAACACTAAATTAAACTTTTGCGCAGTATAATCAGGAGTATTACAGATCACACTGGTTAACTATATTACTTACATTGAAAATGTTTGAACTCAAAACGGTGCTAATAGATGCAGACTAACTGTTTGTGATTTACACGATAATCGTGAACAATGGTTCCAAATCCTAGGTAAAATGGCTAAAAATCAGTAATAATGATACAAATGAGTTCATTTTCTTTATCCTCATCACTACCTTCAGTTTTAATTGTAATGTGTTCGGGTACAGAGACGATAATTCAACTGGTGTCACCATTATGATACACCGACATCGGGGGATTGAATGAGTATTAAGAACATCATCCCAGTAGCCATCCTGTTGTAACTTCCGTTTACTTTCTTTAGAAAAGTGAGAGTAACTTCTTTAAATACAAATATTCTTCCCAGTTATATTTTTCTTAACTGAACTACTACTCACATTATGACAATTAATATTATTATTTCACTCGTTTACAATATGTCAATTTTGTCCTTCTTTTATTATATCTACCCTCCTTTCTCTATCTCTTCACAATCACATTTTTATTGTGTGGCGCATATATATTATGGAGCCCTCTTGTACGAATATTTGTGTTCAAATAAATAAACAAATAAGTTGCAGTACATTTCGTCTCTTGGTAACATACTCTTTATGTTAGTTTTATTCGAATTATCAGTGATAGTACGAGTACTTTGATTTTACTATTAACATTGCATATATCTTTTCTTGGGTTGATATAATTCAGTAATTTGACCTGATTTATATTTGTCCTACGTTTTGTATTGATTATTACTGACTAAGAAAGTTAATTACATGTATGGATACACATTTGATGTAACCGTTTATCATTTTATTTAATCACACTTGTACCTATATTAGTAAATACACTTACTGTTCGCTAAGG